AAAACTGGCTTTTCACTAAAACTGGCCTTTTGTGAATACTTCCCTTTCTGTGATGGAAAATGTAATTCAAAAAATCACTTCTGTTAGTGCTAAAAAAAAAGAAAGGGTATTTTAAAGGCTCTGAAGTGAATAAAAAATTTTTATACAAATGAATCTTCTCTGTTTCTTCTTCCTCTGAGTACTTGAAATATTTGTCTAGCTCTAATCACTCTATTTTAGTTAGGATGTAAAGAACTACACTGTACATGGGATTAGGGAGTAAAATAAAACTGTCATCATGTTTTAATTTATTTACAGAAAGAGGAACTTGAGACAGTATGATTGTTTTGTCATCAAGTTTTCATTTGCTGTATGTGAAATGAGCCTTCATACTTCCAGTTGGGTTTCATTCATCGCCGTCGAGTCTCTGTGTGCAGATATGGTATACATCCTATGGGAAGGAGAAAGCACAACAATCATTTTGTTCGTACTAAGCTGAGAATTAAGTTCCTAATTCTGGGAAGTGATTTTTCCAGAACATTGTGTTCACTGAACAGAGATAGGAAAGCCAACTTCCGTTCAGCGTGAGGGTCTAGGTGAAACATCCTTCCTTCATCAGTGTGATAACGTGGAGGTTAAACATAAATCCAGCCTCCAAAGATTCACTGAAAGCTGCTTCAGATTTGTCTACAATTTGCCTAAAATTGCAGAAGGGTCTTTGGTAAACTGTAAATTCAGCACCTCAAACACTTACAATATATAAAAACTCTATGTTCTGCAGATGAGATAAATCCGAGTGTAAGATTATAGAATAATCTACTAAGGGAAGCTGTGGAATCTCAAGACTCACTCTCTGGACAATACATCAAAAAATGTCGGAATCAGTAAGGGAATAATACGAATGATAAAATGAGCCTTCATATCTCTAAGAAGAACACACCAAGGCACATATATTCTGGGCTTTTGAAGCAAATTACTCTTCTGGAATTCTATAGATTGACAGTCATTTATATGTGGGAGGGCATTTGTGGCCTTTATATCAGTATACACTGTCAGATTAACATCCATCATTACCTCATTGTTGTTCAATCACAGAGGTAAGATTTTTGTCTGGCATAAGACAGAACTAGACATAAGACAGAAACATTTTTTTCTTTCATGTGCACAGTTAGTGTTTCTAGGAACTCCACTAGTCGTCAGCACGGAATTCGCCAGAAAGTTGTAAAAAGAAAAGAGGCCTTTTTATAAGACCTTATTAGACTTCGATTTGCTTGGTTTGGGTTTTTTTGGTGTGAGTGGTACCTACAGGGTGACTAAGGAACTATTGTCTCTGCTACTTCTGTGGCTGAAAGGCATGGTATTAACATGTTAATCATATAAGGAATGAACACAATTCTCTCCCTTTTACTTCACTGGCAATGGAGGTCATCAACACCTTCTGGAGGTAACCCATATGATGACATGAAAGAAAGGGAACAGAAGGACAGGACTGAACCAAAACCCACTAAAACCTGTGGGGTTTTTTTCCAATTATATCAATGGAGTTGCAGCTGGATCTAAAAGTAAGAACCATCTCCTTGCTTCTCTTTTTACACCTAGAATCACTTTACAAATTTCCATAGCAAGCAAGACCCTGCATAGGTCATGGATGAAAACAAGCAACAAGATTTGAAGAGCTGTGACTCTTGGTGGATCTTATTTTGGCACATTTTTGGAACATTAGAGATATCCTACTTCTCAAAGAAGAAATTACCTCGATTTCTTCAAAGAGCTCTTCTTCTGCAGTGTCTTCAATCCACCTGACCGGCAACAGGCAAACTTACAATCAATGACCTGGTAAATAATTGGGTTGTACATGGCTGCTGACTTAGCAAGCAAAGTTGGTACCACTGAGAACTGAATGGGAACCGAATCCGGCTGTCCAAAGGCTGACCACACAGAGACCACAGCATAAGGGATCCAGGCAATGAGGAACCCTGCACAGATCAACATTGCCACCTTGTGAGAGGGAAAGATTAATCTAGCAGAGTCGGACACTGACAGTCCAACACAGAGCTAGGCAGAATGCAAAGGAACATGCCACAGAGTGGAAAAGAAAAATGGTAACTCTTTTCAGATAAATTTACAGTATGAAAAAAAGCTGTCACAAGTTTCTCTTCTCTTTATCTAGCGCCTGGTTTTCTTTCACCTGACACAGAGCAGTTATTGAGTCTGTTATCACAGACCTTTAAAAATAGCATGCTATAACATCTAGCTAAACATGAGGAAACTAAAGGAGAGCACAGAAAAATAATTCTTTGACATTAAATTTTAATTATTTGTAGAAGGAGAGTCCTTTCAAAACATAGAGACTCTCTTTTTTAGGATAATTTATAACATAGAGCTGTGAAAGTTTTTTTAAATTCTGAGAAAGATCTTTGAAATCAACACAGGTTAAGCAGGAAACATTTCCTACAGGGTTTCTCCTTGGGGTTTTTTTTATTTTTCTTGCTTATTTGAGGAGCCTCTCACTTCTATAGTCTCTTCCAACCAAATATTCCTCAGATTGTCAAAAAGAAACCCAGTCACTTTTCCATTCCAGAGTGAAACAAGCATGCACTGGGAAAACAAAACCAAAAAAATTATTCAGTGCAGGTCTTCCAGATTCTGGGTCCTTTGAAATCAGATTCCAAAGTTCATGAAATCAAAGTCTTTGAAGAAGTTTCCAGGATTGAATTAGCTCAGAGTGAGTTTGTTTAGGAGGGTATATTCCTGCCTATATCTACTATAGTTCCTTCTTCTGTATCACTCAGTACCAGTAACCAAGGCAAAAGCAAAGGAAATTACGAAAAGAAGGAAAGAAAAAAGATTGTAACACCCTGATCTAATGCAGGGCTGCTTCTTCTCTTGTAGGCGTGCTGATGTCCCACAGAGAAGGTGTCAAAAACCAGCAGGACCAATAACCTGCTGCAAGGATGACCACTGGTGACAGGAGGAAGGTGAAGAGTTTTGATAAACGAGGTCTATTTTCTGCCTGCACCCAGGAGGGTGTCTGTGGCCTATCTTCCACTGGAAAAATGTCAACAGTTTGAATCCCTTTCAAGACAAATATGGAAAAAGTAAGCATAAAGTCAGTCAATAAGGCATTAGGTGTCAAGTGTCCACTCAGCAGATATAAAAATTACTATATTTACCTGGGTAAACTGGAATTAAAACTACTGAGAATTTAACTGAGAGTAAGAACATTAGTACAATGTCTAGTTTTCTTTCTCATGACCCATAGCATGGATTTGTACTCCATTAGAATCTGTAGATGCTTTAAAAAGCAAATTTCTACCAAACATTTAAGTTGCATTCCTAGTTAATGAGAAAAGGACTTCCTTATAATGTGAGGAAATATAGGAATGGTTAGTATAAATATTAAAGAAAAACTTTTTGGGACCAAAATTTGTGATTTATATACTTTACCTGAAGCAACGTGCCTGCACTCAGTCACAGCCTGATATAGCTTCAAATAACATCATGCAATAGGACATACTGAAGAAATATGCCATTATCCTGCTGCCACTAACAGACTATTATTCTGCATCCAAATCGATAGTAGCACATATGCACTCATTTGGAATAAGACAATTAGAAGAATTACAACAAAAAATCATCAGAAAACACAAGTTTTTGGATATTGCATAGCCTTTAGTGGAGCCTTTGTTTCCACATCTTGATTGTAATATTATTTTCAGGGAAACTTCATTCTAAGTGAAAAAGCATAAAGCTTTTTTTGTTGTCTGCCACTGAAAAAACAGTGCATGTGAGCCAAGGATCTCAGACACAGCCTGTTAGTTACAAATTGTGCTGTGAAATGGGTTATGATGGAGACCCATTTTCTGTATTTATGGATATCCCAGCGTTATGTTCTCCACGGAGAACATAACGTAGATCGGAGACAGATGGGACAGCTACTAGTGTTTCGATTCAGATCACGTTAAAGTTGTACATGATCCCTCTAATAGGGCAAAAATAAACCTGCAACCTCAAATCAAAAGTTGTCATTTTTCTTCAATGTTCTGAATAACTACAAACCTGTACTGTACTGAAGAAACCCTTTTTAAAGTCAAGTAATGTTGACAGCCGCATTGACAGCACTGACCATGCAGATAGCTAGCTGAGATTCTTCAATATGCTTAGACATAACGCCACTTACTGCTATATATTATATAACTTGCAGTTCAACTCCCCAAAAATGTAATAAAATTTGATCAGCCAAGCAGAGGATGCTGCTTGTCTCCCTCTTGGAATGGCTGGTGAATATTTTACAGCTATGAAATCTGGTTTTGTTCAGTGCAAGTTTTTATTTTGAGAGATTTTCTGGCACAATAACCAGTATCAGCAAGGATCATGGCTGTCACCATTGCCAAATAGAAAACAGATTCTATCAAAAAGGGAAAATAGGGTATGGTTTGAGATGGAAAATTAATTTTATCACTTGAATGCGTTCTTATCAGCAGCTCATGGCTGAACAAAAATGATAAATTATTTGCATAAAAAAAATTGCAAAGTCACAGAGTGACTTTAGTTTATATCTTCATTAACAGAGGAACATAAGCTGTCTGAAAGTTTTATTTCCCTGCTACAATAATCTTTTATCCATTTTTCTCGAATGCCTTAAAATAATTCCTCACAACTGCTTCTGAAAGCAAAGGGAGTTTTATGATGGGGAACAGGGCCACAGGAGATGATGTGACTTGTTTAAGGTCACCCAGGAAGGCTGCGGCAGAGGTTCAGACTGAATCACAATCTCAGGGATTCGCGTGCTTGAATCATAAAATTCTGTTTCAACTCCTGTCTTTTCCCATCTTGACAATAACGGAGGAGAAAGATAAAAGAACCACCTTCAGAGAGTTGTACTATCGCTCATCATAGGAAAATATATGGTTGAAGTTCTCCAAGCCTCTTTTATAACCTGACAAAGCAAACTGAGCAAAATCTTCCTACCTACCTTGGTCAGCTTCATTTCAAGTATGTGGCTGTTCTGAATCCTGGTATCATAGTGAGCAACCTCTTTGGTGGATGACTTGACTTTTAAAATTATTTTGACATAGGAAAACACAATCACCGCAGTTGGGAAAAGGAGGCAAAAGAAAAGAATACTCAGAATAAAAGCCTGTCCAGCCACTGAAGCCTGCGCCAGCCACCAGTCCAGAGTGCAGGAGGTCCCAAACGGCTCGGGGGCATAGTTGCCCACGCCAGCAAAAGGCACCGTAGCCCAGAACGTAGCATAGGCCCAGATTATTGCCAGACAGATAAATGCATGATGTCTCTTAAGCCAGGTACCTGGAAGATAATTCAAGAGTTACAACCTCAGGACCATATGTGTTTGGCAGGACTGAAGATGCCATTCTACACATGCGGTAAGAGTTTACTTGGCTGTTTGACAACAACTGCTGTTAGGGTTTATCTCGCCTCCTTCCAGCTATCTGTAGTAACCCCTGAGGCAGCCACCCCAGCTCGTGTTGTACCTCATGAAGAGGAACACACACTCATAGAGATGGCTCTGCTCAACGTTATTTCAGATCTCTGCTTTAGGCTGTGATGATTTACAACCAGAAGAGTCTGTACAAAAGCAGTCCAAACAGCTAGCTCAGTAACGAACCTGGGAATCTTGTCTAGTAATTCTGAAAATTGCTCTGTGGTCTGTAAAGGCATATTCAGTGTGTGGTCAGATGAGATGGAAGTTTGACCCACCTAAGTGTTTAATTCAGCCTTTCATTGCTCAGGATGAAGGTTCACTAGCTGCAACTGTACAGTGTAACTTATGTTATTTCCTATTCCTCCTGTCATATATTAACTGTCTAAAGTCTGATCTCAATACACTTCTCAACATAAATCATTAACTCAAGTGACTGATAGACAAGGCTTTACAGAGGAAGTAACATATCCAAGATTTATTTTTACCTTGTCATTCTTTTCCAGTACAGTAAATCATAATGTGCATACAGTCGGAAGTATTTGTAATTCGTGTTTTCATGTATCCTTGTCCATTTGTTTTATTAAATGGTAATGGCATGCCTGGAGCTATGGAGTGGAATATTGCCTCTCTGCTCATCTTGCATACAACCATATTTCAGCTAGAAAAACCTTCAGTTTACAGGCTTTCCATCATCACCCATGTTCAACATGTTGGATTCATGTAGGACTAACAAGTTAAAACCTATGATTTATGCAGGAACTCAGACTATGATATTATAACAGCTACTTCTGCCTTGGAAACTGTAATCTCTTTTCACTCCCCATCCACTGACATTGAGGAGCTTTCTTCCGAATTTGAGAATAACATAAAACAAAATCAAAACAACTCAAACAACTGTAATTCAGATGCGACTGGTGCCCCTTCTCCAGCTGATTTTACCTTTCCAGGTCACTGGAAGGAAAATGAACACTGGCTATCAAATGACAAATTCAAACACAATGGCCAAGAGACCGGAACGTGGTTTGTTTTGTTCAAGTGTGGAAAAACTAGAGCAAAAATAGCATGAGGGCTAAAATATTGGCATTATTTTCACAGCTATTGTCAGACCACAGCAATCTATTACCAAAAAAAAAAAAAAACCAAATTAGTTGCTGCTTTTGGAGCAAAACAAAGGTGTAGGTATATCGTCAGGTGCTCCAGGCTCCTGATTGCTTTAGGCGATGGGACTTGCTTTCACAAATTGTACAAACAGCTTCCAGGTTGCACTTCCTATGACAAGGGTCTTCCTATTCCTATTCCTAGTGGTTGAAGTAGGGAGCAGCACTCTATTTGGATATCCTACTGGAGCCAGATACCTTCACATGGAAGAATGACAGGAAAGTTCAGGCTGTAAATCCTAGGTTTTGGGAACATAAACCAGACCGAAAGTCCTTATAGGGAAAATGGTTACGTTTACCACCTAGACTGAACATGATAAATATGTTTATTGCTCTCCATCATTTTGTATGGACAACCATGACCAGCCCTTGAGAAAAAAGGTTTTGAAGCATTCTGTCTCTCTTGAACTAAGATGTCATACTAAATACCAGAACTCATGGCATGAATGCAACCAACCATGAAATGTTTACTTCAGCTCATCAAGTCTGAAAAATTCTCTATGATTTGAGTTGCCACTGAATTATTTTAATAAGACTTTTATATAAAGAACTGAAATCCTGCTTAATGTGAATGTTGTATTTAAAACTCAGCTAGGGAGACCTTCTCTGCACTCATCTCAGGAAAAAGTATGGAAATGTCAGGATCTATGATAGCAGATCTTAGTGCAGTGCCACAGCTTTTAATTGTCAGCACGCTCCACTGTTTTGGACAGACCAGCTTACGTACACTTCCTAGTTCCAAGCATTTCTTATAACTTAACATTATATAGTTGATATTAAAAGTCATTATAATGAAACGAGTTGTATGTCCCTCAAGTCACATGGGCAATGTGTTTCTTATATGTAAAGTCACCTTGAGTATTCCCAGTAATTTTGTTGCGGAGTCAGTCCTTTCCAATGCAAGAAAAATGTCTTTTCTAAACTGTGACATCTTTTAACCGGAAAGAATGAAGCATATAATACTTCATATTCAAGAGAGATAAGATATTGATGGATATGGTGATAATATCTTTCATTGCTAAATTCATTTCAGCCTCTCAGATTCCATCTCCATATGAGAGACGATATCACATTTATTATGACCTATTGCACATCCAAATCTTTTAGATGTTTTAAATGGCTTGCCACATATCTTAAAGGAATTTAGGCATCTAATAAGGAATACTTTTGTGTGTCGGTCCATAAGACCTTGCAAGATGTGCAATACTTGAACCTGTTAATGTCAATAGGCCTTGATATACACAAAGTGATTTATCTATGAGTGATTACTAAAATTCATGGCTTAGAGCAGACAGCAGAGAAAAAACAGTGAAGGTTTTATTTCCAGCAATACAAATTCAGCTGGGATTACTTGGGTCATAAAAATTCCTCTTGCCTGTGTATTCCCCTTTATATTTAATAAAAACATTCCGAAGAGCTTAAGTATGATTTCAGTCTAGAAAATTACATCACTTAACATAGTTTTCTTTCTTACCATAAGACAAGTGGCAGATTTTTAGGTATCTATCCAGGCTGACAGCTGTCATGGTAATAAGGCTCCCACAGCCAAAGAAGAAACCAGCCCATCCATACCAACGGCAGCCCATCCATCCAAACACCCAGCGGTGAGAAAAGAAGGAAATGATACTAAAGGGTTTTCCTGCAACTTCAAAAGGAGAAGAGAACATCAGCTGACTGATAAAATCCATCACCAGTAAAACCACCCTTTTTCAGAAAAGCAAACCCTCCCTTTTGCCCCAAGTTAATGCCAGTAAAAAAGCGGAGAGAGGGCTTCAGGCACAACAGATGTGGTGACCTGCATGCCCTCCATCCACAGGACTCAGCCTAAAAGTCAGCTGTTGCTAGATCCCATAGCACCTACGCTGCGGTAGGATGAGCTAAGCCAACAGCATGGCTGGAAACAGGTGGTTTGCTGCAGACCACATACACCAAAAGTAAACCCATACTCTGGTACGGAGCATGTGCAAGCCCTTCCCATTACGAAGCCTTCAGAGTATGTGGTGTTAAGTCCACAGGCAAACACATGCCAGTGTGTAAACCGTACAGGTGATAGGTGAGTCTGGGCTTGAAACAAGCACCAACTTTGTTAGGCTACATCCTTATAATCAAGTGTCTTCAAACACAGGATAAAGAAATTTGCCTTTCAAGATGACTTCTGCAAACCCACCAAGGCCCAGCAGTAGGACGCGTGCTGTGCTGAAGTGCTAGGTTAGAAAGGAAGATGGTGCTATGGTCGCAGCATGGCTTCGAGCTGCAGAAGTGGTTTCAGCTCCCGTCCATATCACATTTTTCTTTGGTGACTCTCAGCAAGTCAGCTGACCACAGTTATTAAAAAGTTTCAAGCATCCTCAAACAGAAGGAAAATACCCAACTATTTTGGAGAATCTGTCCTAGTGGCACCTCAGCTCATTTCTCCATTTGTACAAGTAGGAGGTACATTACAGAGGAAGTGAAGTAAGGTCGTATGTTGTTCCATTCTCACCTTAAAACATTAACATTATTCATATTCTTTTTAAATATAACAAAAATTAAAAAGTTTGGAAATTATAATTTTCTAGTTGGAATTCTCCACTTCCTGATCTATTTCTTTTTTTATCTCAAACTGGACAAACAAAAAAATCAACTTTAATGGAATAGACAACTCAAAAATTTACAATCTAGGAACATTAACGTGTTTTCTGAATTCTTAATTTCTACTTACCAGACTGACCTGAAATGTTCCAAGGCCTGAACAGTTCTGCTGTAACATTCAAACATTAAATATTTAACTCTACCTTCCTGTGACTGTATTCCTGCACAGGAGTTGCCAGAGCACCTCAAGGAGTTGAAAGCATCTCAGCAACCCTGGGCTAGTTTCCCTGGCTGAACCACACTGTTCACCATTCACTGTCTGTAATGTCATGGCAGCTCAGTGAATTTGTGTAAGAGAGGGCAAAAATAGCCTTGCAAACTGTAATTCCCACAAGGTAACCTATTCATAGAAGTCAAGACAAAAGTCTCTATTTTGTTGAAGTGATCTGTAGAAAAATATTTTTGATTGTTTCCAAAAATATTCCATATCCAATCCAAGTGTTCAGAAACTAAACATCCTGTTTTCATTCTTAACAGAACATTAAAACATTTCTACCAAAACAAAATCTTGCAGAATATGGCCTTTGCTCTGTCTTCTATGCCAAAAGCATCATGACTGAAAGTCCTTCAAAATGACACTTATTTTTAAACAAGGTATTTTGGGACTCTTTTCCTTTAGCCTAAGCCTCTGAAGAAAATTCTGCCTGAGCCTGAAGGTTGTGCTCAGGTCAATATATTACGTGCTTTTCTCTGAGCAGAGCAAACCTACTTTAATTTTTCAAGCAGAAGCTGACCCCAGTGATTAAGGTTTCAAGAAAAACATGAAATATGGCAAGGTCTAGGACATATGCTAAGAGTCAGCAACTTTACTCATGTAAATCATTGCCAGCTCTAAAGGCCAACACATTTATTTGCACAAAATTAAATTTCTCTTCAGCAGCATAGGACTCGGAGCATGGTATCAGTGCAAAATGAGCCTGATGCAGTTTTGAACAAGTGGCTGGTGCCACCCTGTGGAAATCTGCAGGAAGCAGGGCTATGGCAGAACCCTCTTCTTGAACAAGGTGCCAAGAAAACTGTGAAATATGAAGATTTTGGAAGAAGTCCCATCTTCACTCCAATCAGTCCAGCAGATACAGCACATCACATTTCTTGAGTCAACTTCTTCCATTAACAAAAAGAAAGAGAAGGGAGAGAAGGCACGCTTGGCTGTGCCAATCACAATTCTTTTTAATTACAAAACCTAAATACACAGATAGATTGAGATCCCGATGGAAGACAAGGCGACCCAGCGGTATGTTGGTGACAGACCTTAACAGAGAAACTAGCAGCAATATCTCCTTCAGAAAAAACATGTTTACTGATCACCAAGAGGCATCAAAATTACTGGAAGTTGAGGACATGAGCAGCTCCTTGGCTGTGTGCAGTGAGATCATAATAAGCTTTGGTTTTGGGAAGCTGGGAGACATTATTTTATGTTGTTCAATGCTATTTTAAGCATTTGGATGAAGGCAGAAGCATTTGGCAGAGACAAGGGCAGGAAAAGGGTGCACTGGAGCTGGGGGCAGGGGTCCTGGTGTATGCAAAACATAGGGGACAGTTGACTTCAGGAGCATGGGAACATGCTGCCATTTATATTGCACTGGGGAGATCCCATGGTCAGCTGGGTCACATCAGGCTTTTATACCCATTGGATCATCTGCCATCCAAAATATCCTTTTCTAAAGGACGTTCAGTCCTCCCCCTGCATTTGCATGTAGCCATAAGCAGCTGAATGAGACTCATGTCAAGAGCCAAAGGAATGATCTCCAAAGGCTTTTGACTCTGTAACTTTGTGTAAACCTTTTCAAAGCTCCTTCTTCTCATGCCTCGGCACTCAGGCTATGGGGTTGAAATAACAATCCCTCCAGTTGGCTGATGTTGCTCATACTATATAAGTTGACACAAATGCTTTTTTTCCTCATCCAGACATAAAAGAGGATGGTCACTAGAGAGAAAATTATTAGCTTTGGTAGGCTGATGGTCTCTGGCATTTTCCAATTCTTTCCCCTCATGCCCCTCCCCAGTCATATTTGGTTGAATATATATTTTTGAGGTACCTTGATCCCTCCTGTTGCACCCTACGGCAGGAAAATAGAATTTTCTTCAACCGTAATAATGAGCTATTTTGTAGTTGTTGTGCCAGGATGCACGTGGGAGCTGTCTCTGAAGGCCTGCCCAGTGCTGGGGCGAACAGGAGTATTGCCTGATTGATAAATTCAACCCTGTTTTTTCCTCTGTACTTTTCATTTCTTTCCATCAAGTTGTTCAGGAATGTTTTTTTCTACCTCTCTTTCTTATTTATATGCAAATAATACAGCAAAAGGCATTTTGGACTCCCTGTGACTTCCAGAGGACTGTCTCTTGCTGCTGCCAGAAAGAATGATGGGATAGTTAAAAAAAAGTGAAAATAAGACATGAAATTACCTGAAATGCCCAGATCACACACTGCTAAATTAACAGTCATTATCTCAGCAGGTCTCAACTTCTTTTTTCGCTTTGAGGACATAAAAATAACATACCCATTTCCCAGAGTTGAAAGAATCCCTATAAAAATATGAAAAGAAAAACAATCAGATTAGAATTCTCAAAAACAGCAACATCCCATCTTCCTTGTGAAATTCTCTGATATTTTCATCCTGAAACTGTGGTCCCAAGGCTAGAAATTTTACTTTGAAACATGATCATCCAGTTCTCATTATGCAGCTCATAGAGACATCTACCGCAGACATCTCCCTCCCACAGCAAATGCTATTTTCCCCTTTGCAGCAGGGCATTGCCTTCACCACCTGAGTCTGCACAACTATCGACCGAATGTACATAATAGAAATCTCATAATTCTTCTGTTCTGATCAACCCCATCTGTCTCACGAACATTTATACAACCACCAGAATGAAATTCAGCTGTCTGTAATCAAAAGAACCCCAATCTCTGATCAACCTTAATTTTATTAAACACTACAATCAGAGGTTGAGGGATATATTTCTAAAATAATGTAAATTAAGATATTAATATCACATCTTAAATTTTACAATAAAAACTGGTATCTATCATAAGGAAGTAAAATCATAAATTATATCTGATTTTAACTTCCAGCTGGAATTCAGTGCATGAGGAGGGATCCTCTTCATGTTGTCTGACATCTTTTTTGTCATATCACCACCCAAGAACCAGTAGGTACCAACGCTGCAGGTGATTAATCAGCCATGGAGCTAATCACACTGGTACCAAAAATTGTGGGGTTTCCAGTTCCCTTAAAGCAAGCTGTTTCTTCACCAACTCATGTTTGAAAGACTTGGAGCCCGGAGTGAGCATTTTGCAGTGGAAACACAGGACAGCACACAACATCCCTTTCGGGAAGCAAAAGTCACCCCCACAGGTGAACACCTCGAAGGCACCATGGCCCATGGCAGCCTCGTGCCAGAACAGAGGAGACAAGTAAGAAGGAGACGCAGAAGAAAAGAGTGAGGAGCAAAGAGTGGCAGAGACCCAACCTCCTGCACCACCGTTGCCTTACCAAAGGGACCTACAACAGCAATGAGGGAGAAGATGTTGGAGTGAAGTTCAGCCTGAGAGAGCAGGAGGAAAGGTGTTTTCCTTAAGTATTTTACGTTTGTCATCTTTGTTTTTCACTACCTTACTGAGTAATCAAATGTTAAGTTACATTCCCCATGATGAGACTGTTTTGCCCGCAACAGTAACTGGTTGTTGATGTCCCCATCCCACTGCGGGGGCTATAAGCAAGCGGCTGCCCTGCGTGCTTGGCTACCAGCCGAAGTCAACCCTCCACACTACTATAAAAAAGTGGTAAATAACCCAACTTTCTTCTGTCTGAGGCAGCAAAGTCATTCTTTGTGATGCCTTCCTACACATGGCTTTGGTGGTGCAAACTCATACCCCTTGTTTCAAAAAGACTCCAGCAGCCCTCCAGTCACCAGCAACTCTGCCCTCTCCAAATATTGTACCTTTGAATACCACACAATTTTTATCAGAGTATTCTGGGAGGTCAGACCTCAGGAATTAAATGGGCATTTATTTACTCTGGCTCATCAGTGGAATGATCCCCTTGCAAAGATGCCATGTCCTCACAAACCAAGAAACTCAACCTGGGAACATCCATGAAGCAGAGAGAAAAATGGTTCCCAGAGGATAAAACCAGACTATTTCTCAAGAAGGTTTAGTAACTGTGGAACTGAAAGTTTACCAAACTCAGGAGAAAAATACTTTGATTTTGAATTTTTCAGTAATAAATGCCACACTCATCTAATTGGAAACACTTCTTATTTTTATACCGGCAGTATTGCTTTCTATATTATTTTAAAAAGATAAACAGGACAGAAGCTGGCTTATCATTGAATCTTAGGTTTTCTCAGCAAATTTGATTTATCCTTGGTGAATAAAATTTAAAGAACATCGTATCCTTAGGGGTCTGAAGATTTAATCTGAATTATAAGTAGATACAGGTATTCATATGCATTATTTTCTTCTTTGCAGCTAAGTGAATGAATCTGAACATTGCCAAGCATTTTTCCTATATTTTAATCATTTTCTCTCTTAATGTCATTTTCTCTCTAGTGATATTTAGGATATCTAGAGTGCCAGCATCCAGTTTGAAAGCCCTTTTGAAAGCACCTGACATTTTCCTGAATCTTTTTCAACTGACTGGTAGTCCAGAGAGATTTCTTCATCAGACAAACCTCTGAAGCAACTGCTCGTTATTAATAGCAATGTTTCAACCATCTAATCCTACAGTTGGAAGGGGTCCAGTGACAATTTAAGTTGCCTTTTGTCTATACCTGCATCTGGCAATTGCTTATCTGAATTCTTTTTTAACTCCTTGGTGATAGAAACTTCATAGTCTCCTGAGATGAGCCATCTAATACTTCATTTTTCCTACTATTAAAAAGATTTTCCCAACAGCTAGATGGAGTCCTCACTGGTGCAGGCTCCCAGCTCTGGTAGGTGCTGGAAACTGTGTGCCTGGGCAGAGCTGGGCTTGGAAACGGGAAAAAAGACTCTCCAGATATAAAATAAAGGCTCTTTTCCAGGAGCAAACAGTTCAGGGCACAGCTACCCATGGCACTGTAACACTATTACATATATATAAACAAAGAGCCAAGGGTGTGATAACTAAAAAAGTGACAGCTACAGAAGAGCCAGGCTCAGATACGCAACCTGCAGCGAAAGGTGAAAGTGTATAAAAGTAGCAAATCCGAACAAATAAGCCTCCTTTCCTCCACTCTGACAGCAGTGCTAAACCATCAGAGGGAAAAACAAACAGAAAAAAATAGTTCAGGATTTTGTTTTCAATTAAGCTGTTTCATAACACTCCGAGGAAGCGTGCAGAAACAGTTTGCAAATCAATAGTTACTTGCCACAGGCTTTCAAAGGAGCTGACAGCCAGCGCGTCTCCCTGCCCGGCCGTCCAGTAAATCAATCAAGTCAGTGATGAAAAAGCTAGCGGGGGAAGTGACAAAGTAAAAAGAATTGGATTCTTATAATCACGTGTACTGTGTGATTTTTTTTTTTCCCAGACAATAAAAAAAAATGCACATGGAAATTAACTAGTTAGGACAAAAGATCACACATTTGCAGAGAATTTATCACAGTTGGTCAAGACACCTGATTTTCTTCAAAGACGAAAAAAATTTATTTTTATATTTTCAAACTGCAGTTTTGCAGCTCAGTTTCCTGACAGGATCCCAGCCTTGCTCCCTCACGGTGCCGCTTCTTTCCCTTTTTGAAATACGTTTTAAAACTACTTGCCCCTTACGTGCCTCAAGCAAAACAAGATGCCCTGTAGCAATCCCCACCTCCTGGCTTGCTCTCTGCTATCAGGATGTCCACACAGGACATCCTCAAGAGGGGCCACCATTTCTTGGAAGGGGACTACAAAGGAATAGGGGACACGGTTCAGTGGCAGCAGGTGGCAATGAGCAGGTTGGGTCTGAACCACAAGTTATAATAAAAAAACCAGACATACCCTCGCTGGGTACAGGAGCCAAATGCTCCAGCTCAGTTTTCCACCTTCTGTGGATTACACAGTTTACAGAGTAAATCTCTGATACTGCAGTTACCCCAAGGCACAACTATGCCCAAGAGTTATTTAAGCACATGTTTTTGCTTACTTTTCTGGATGCGTGGGAGCTGTGATTAACTATAAATCTGCCAATGAAAGCAAATTTACAGCCTTAGTAATCCTGTTGTGTGGAATTTGATGTCAGTGAATAGTTTCACAGAGCTAGTCTTCCTCCTCCACCACCTTAAGATCCACTATCTACCACCGAAAGTCTCTGCACAGCAGTTCTTCATGTCCCAACAGAAATGTGGATGTTTTGAACTGTCAGAAATCAGCTTAGTGGAAGAGGAAATACAAGATTATTTTTGTTTACAGGAAGTAAAAAAAACCACTCAAAGATTTACCTGGGAACAACAAAGATTAATTTCCTTCTAAGTTCTCATATTTTTGCAAGCACAAGATATTATTAAAATGTTGCTGTCCACCTAAATATGAATGGGTAATAAAATAGGGATCTGCACATCAACAGAAGCTAATGGTGGCAACCCCAAGGCACTAGGCTGAACTAGTCTTGCACCGTACAACTCACATGAGAAGCATTAGCCCAAGCAAAGTTGTTTTGGGTTTTTTTTGTAAGAAAAATATGTTTAAAGACTACTTTAGCCCATCTGTTCTGTCCTGGTTTCGGCTGGGATAGAGTTAATTTTCTTACTGATAGCTGGTGGTGTGCTGTGGTTTGGATTTGGGATGAAAATAATGTTGATGACATGCTGATGACATGCTGATGTTCTGGGTTGTTGCTGAGCAGTCAAGGACTGTCCAGCCTCTCATGCTGGGCTGCCAGCGAGCAGGTGGGGGTGCACGGGGAGCTGGGGGGGGCACAGCCGGGACAGCTGACCCAGGCTGGCCAAAGGGGTATTCCATACCATACGACGTCATGCCCAGTATATAAACTGGGGGGGTTGGCCGGAGCGGTGCTGCAGCTGGGAAGCTAACTGGGCGCCGGTCAGCGGGTGGTGAGCAATTACGCTGCGCATCACTTCTTTTGTATATTCTTTTACCATTATTATCATCATTATTGTCATTCTCTTTTTTTTTCCCCTGTCCTATTAAACTGTCTTTATCTGGACCCATGAGTTATACCTTTTTTTTTTTATTCTCTCCCCCATCCCACTGGGGAGGAGGCTAAGCGAACGGCTGCGTGGCTCTTTAAGCTACCTGCCGGGTTGAACCACGACATACTCACAAGCACAGAAGACGACCTGACATTGCTCCATCTACCAGTTTTGTTTCATTCCCTCTCCTAGTGGCTGAGCTCTGAGGTGTAATTCTGCTTTACTGGTAAAAAGTATAACTCTCCTTCTTCACATAAAACCCCTATAAAAGGGGGCAGGGTCTGTATTTCTTCTGGCCTCTGGCAAATTAATATCCATTATTATATTATACCCAGTGTCTAAAACACTGCTGTACTGGTCTAGAAAATGTGAAACCAGTTGCCATTGCAGAGATGGCAGCTAAGAAATGGCTGCTTAAAATCATTGCAATGATTGTTAAAAAGAATTTTTATATAAAATTATATCTGTGTATTATATCTGAATATAAAAATATCTGTGCAGGATACCGATGACATCTTATGCTACAGATGCAAGTCTAAGGAAGAGGCAAATACAGCACTTACATGCATGTGTGAAGAGCATATTTGGCTCTAAGGAAAGCTCCTGCTGGAGTGTGTAATGACCATAAGAGTAAAGTAACTAATCAAGTAAAATGCAATGCAAAACAAACACATGAAAAAAATAAGTTCAACACAGGGCAAAATGTGGGATATGATGTCTAGAGCTACACATGTATACAGCAGAGCTATGGCTTGAACTTTCCCAGCTTGGGCCACCAAGGAGTCCACCACAGGCTGCTTGATGTCCGGTACAGAACACCATGAAGGTGGGAATCTTACCGATAAGTCAATATAAAAATGATTATCAGCCCTTTTCAAACTATAATTTCAGTCCTTTCACACTGCTCATGTAAGTCTGTGCCTTCGTGGTCAGCTTTTGGTTTTTCATTGGAAACATACGATTTCTGTTCCTTGCCTTAATTTGATTATATCTATGTTTCTCAAGATGTTTCATTCCTGGCAGGGGTATTTCTTTGGAACTGGATAAACCTACATTAAATACAGCCAATATAGCAAGGCAACACAGTGTACATGGGAAGGATTCATTTCAGCTACTCAGACATATTTCCTGGGATTAAAGCTAAATTTGCTTAACTGAGTGAAAAAAGACCCGAGGGGGGGTTGTTTTGGACAGTTCAGTGAAGACATCTGTTTGCACAGCAGAACAAAGATGTATGTATGTGAAAATCTAGGATGCATACGAAACAGTGCATGGATACCAAGAACAGCACAGAGATACAGCTTCACCTGCCGTCTCTGCTGCTCTGAATTCCTTCTTCGATAAAGACGTAAGAAGAAGACAAATGAGAAATAAGTGTTATTCAAGCTTTTGTGAGACCTCCACTGCAGAAAAGATTAGATTACTTAGATCAGTCGAGGGAAAGGCAGTGAGAGAGAGTAGGAAGGAGGGATGTAAAACAGTGAATGAGGAACATGAAGGTAGGACTGAAAGGTCTTTGTATTTTGTGCAGAACTGATAGAACAAGAGAATGAATCCAAACCAAAATCAATGCCAAGGAATACACTGTATACCCTGTATTCGTCCTGGTGTTCAGCCGTCTGACACCCGCAGCCCAGTTTGGTGTAGCAGAGTTGTATGACCTTGGCTCAGCTTTACTGAGAAAATAACTGTTTGAGCTGTGAGAAACCGCATGAACTAAAGCCATAAAACATAAGGAAACCTAAACCATAGAAAGAAGTGTAAGTGTTGAGGCAAGTATTGCCACAAAAAGATATAACCCTGTCCACTTCCATAAAGCAAGGAAGGTAATCATCAAGAAGAAGGACCAGTTTACCCCAGAAGCAATGGAGACCAGTATTTCCCAGCTGAAGGACAACTCCTTGGCATATGAATACTTGATGTAGAAATCAGTCCCAGCTATCATCTGTGTGCAGTAACCAATAAATAATTGCATTTATTCTGCTTGCAAAGACACTTTGCACACCGTAAAAGACTCCAAAACCAAAGGGAAAGGAGGGTGTTAGGCAGAAAATATCGCTTAACATAATATGTAACAGAGGACAGCTGATGCCAGGAGCTGAGCAAGAGTCAAATGAGCACATCTGAGGATGTTCTCTTTGTTGCACAGGCACATGAAAGCGGCTTTGAAAACATGCCATAAAACCCACATGGCATAAGGGCAAAAGCCAGTTCTGGTGGGGAACAATTAAACCTCAAGCTAGTAGCCTATCGGTAGAAAAAAAACGAGTATTTCTTCACCTTTTGCTGGAAGGTCTACTGCTAGTCACTTTTGGCTACGTGGAGCAGCATTCTCTGTTGACACTAACTGTTGACACCGTATTTCTAACACGTTCTTTCCTGTCCCTCCTAGATTTTTCTTTCTAGTATGAAGAAATAATTTAATTACACATGTAATGCACAGCAGCTTCTGCCTTCTTTGCGAGTGCCTGCAAGGATGCAGTGACATAGTCATATTTCAAAGACTAATTAAAACAATCATTACCAATTACTGTCAAATAAAACCCAGCTACAATGTCAGCTTCTCTAGAAAGCTTTGATGCAAAGGGGTCTTCCTTCTGGAGATAGTGTGGGAGGTATTCTTTCTGGGAGGAATTGTTGTGATCTGATGCCATCCCATTCATGTCCAGTTCAGCGTCTGAAAAACAAAAGAACAGAGTTTGCAATAGATCACATCTGCCACCAGGAAATGCACGGATATTTTTGTTCATACACAAGATGCATCCTCCTGTCTTCATTTCTGCTCTGCCACCTCCCAGTGCATTTCAGGATCCAATTCAAAATTGCATAAAGCATCCTGCCATGATTTATTTCATCACTTATTTACTTTATCCAAGAATGCCATTATTCATATGGCAGTCGTCACAGTAATCCATCTGAGCAGTATCTAGGTACCAGTGTGTTGTGGCATTCAAGCCAGGGCTTCTGAAGCATCTTCCCCTAATATCTTAAGGACCTTCATGTTTCCAGCTGGGTGTAAGAGTAACCCAAGACTGAGAATACAGAAAAACAAAAGGCGGCAATTGTTTGTGTCTGAATAGCTCCATTGCTCAATGTGTTTAATGCATACTGAACTTGTTGTCTTTATCTACATGCATCGTTCTTGTAGTTCCAGGAAACTGGAATTATCAGTAAGACAGTCCCAGCAATTTCTTCGTATCCTGAGGGGCACTATGTCTACAGATGGTAGCTCTGCAAATTTTACAGTTAAGTGAAAAGTTATATTCATAAATTCTCCTTACAGTTATTTAGGTGGTGGGTTCTAATGTAAATAACTTCACATGGCTATGGTTAAAAACAGGAATTGGCTATTACAGTTACAAAGAAGCAGCAGGATCATTAAATAATAGACTCATCTAGGCAAGCTCACTGAGTTTTCTTTCCATTTCTTTTTGAGTGGAAATGGGCTATTGAGATCAAATGTGCTAAGATCGATAAAGCGAATCCTGATATGGGAAAACTAGAATCTGGCAAGCATCCATGAAAGTTACCTCTCCAGAACAACCGAAGAAGTAAAGTGAGGAGCTCTAGCATAAGACAAAAATGTTTCTGCAATGTTTGAAACCACCCAGCCAAGAAGTGTTTAGGACATTCAGTCATTCCAGTTCTTCTTGCTAGTGCTTGGTGGGGCAGGAGTGGCACGTCAGAACTTAGCACTTGACTCCCAGGGCTTCCATACTTTTTGCTGTGGGACCTGGGACAAGTTGTGAAGCTCTAAATTTTGCGCCTCACAAGTCCAAACTCACAGGGAGACTAAGCAAGGAAAAAAAATGTTTCATTATTTTACCCATTTTACCTTTTCTGCATCTTGAAGGCAGACGGTCTTCTCAATAGCAGCCCTGTAGGGTCAGAAATGTAGATGACACTTGCCTACACATAAAGCACCCACAATCCTCTCCCTGCTGTTCCTCTAGCTTTGGAAAAAAGACCCCATTTAAGGGAATCAGATCATGGGGGCACACTGCCACTCTAAACGCAGGAGAAGCTGGAAGGTGTCCCAGACATATGACTCCAAGTGACACCAAGTCTTTAAAGTTCAGCAGCTTCATTGCTTTTCTTTTTTTCCCAATAAAGGAAAATATAAGCAAAGGCTGATTAATTAAAAAAAAACCCTTAGGTGACTTCATGAGCACTTTTATCCTTCCACAGCCATGGAGAATAAGCAGTACAAATTGTAGATTGCTCCAGACAGCAGAGCAACCATTTCGGTTTGGGTTAGGTACCATGGTACAGCAGCCTGGACACGGTCTGAAGAGACCGTCTTGTACAAAAGGGTGGGCTAAGGCATGAATCTGGGTAACAAAATAATCAGACTGATCATCCTCTCCATCCAATCATAGCCATAGATCTTGGTCCAAATTCCACCTGGCCTTTAAAAGGATGCTGATGCTTTTCTGTCCCCCACCTTGCATGGCCCCACAACTCTCATGTCGCTGCAGCATTTCAACCGTGGTGGTTGCAGCAATGCAAATGGAAACGCACATCTGGGATCTGTCAGCACAATTTGGATTTGACATAAATAAGTATCAAAATGTTTAAGGGCATGTTCCTTTCCTGAGCCACACTAAAATCTCCCACTCAAGTCAATATTAGGTGTCTCACAAGGACAATATTTTTCTTACATGGAAAAAAAGGTAGCTTCAAAGAGGAAATTTCAACTTCTGTATATCTTAAGCCCGGCCAGAAGCCCAGTCACTGAGATTTTTAACATGCCTCAGAAGGAAAAGTGCAGGTTTCCCAAACAAATCACAGACATGGGACAGGAGGAAGCCTTCACTGATCAACCTGGTCTGCTACAACATGGCAGATTTTGCTGTTTCGCTCAATATAAATTGTTTACTTGCTTGCAAATGTTAATGTTATGACAGACTAGTCATATTTGGTTGCTGAAAAAGAAGCCCCTTATCTTGACTTTAAGTAGAGACGTCACATTATTTCTTGAAAAATGTCAACAAAAAAAAAAAAGGAGATTAATGTCTAACTTCCAAAAAGACACAGAAACTTTCCTCATTAATTTAAATCATGTCTGGCAAATTAAGAATAAGAGAAGTTTCGGATATAAGAAGATAAAAACCAACTTTGTTGGATTTACACAAAAAGTGTTACAGTGAGATATATTACAGGATTTTACTACTAGATTGTGGCTTTAGAAGATTTTCATCATCCTGTTTAGGCAGGAATTAATTGTGCCCCCAAAATGAAGCTCTATTCAAGAATCAAATTTCCCATTTAGAGTGTATAAAAGAGAAAGGGATGTAATTAACAAGGCAGAATAATTATTCCTCTCATAATTTCAAGTCAAGAAAAGCCATAATCCTGATCATTACCTAATGCCTAAATGTGGGTAAAAAAATAAAGAGAAGGATAATTTTTAAACTATTAGGTAAAGCCTATCAAATGTAGTGGGTGTGCAATTTCCCAGATGAATTCTTTTAGGAACTAAGATTTGAACTGCTAGATTTGTTGGTTTTATTTATACATTTGCTTCTTAAGATACCACAGTATTAGATGCCTGGTAGAAGTCATAGAATTTCTGATCCACAGCCCCTAAAATTTAGTAAGTCAGGGACAAGGACTATAAAATATTATTTTAATACAAACTTCAGCGATCCATGCTTGTACCAATCATCTTCATTGCTTGCCAGTCCCTGTGAATTCCTAAAACATACTGGGAAGCTACAAACAGGGGAGGTGTAACCCAGATTCAAATTATGCCTTCTTCTATGCGGCTCAGCTAAATATTGGCAGATATCGGCAAAATCTGAAGTCCTTAATCTAAATCGGTAAGAAAACAATCATTAATTTATGTTAGCCTGCCAAAAATTGATACATTGCATTTATGTAAAACGGCCAAAGCGGTATGAATTGGGGAAAATATTTTTGTAACTTTGCAGGCAAATTAAGGAATAATTAATACTAACCATTTTCAAAAAAAATGGAAAAACTGTAAGTACTCTGTGCCGTAGGAATCGCAGAAACTGAGCTACACTCGGATGCTGCAGAGACTCCTCTGTGAAAGTTACTGCGGCAGCAATGCTTTAATGTGCTTGACAAGAGAGCACAAGGAGTGAAATATTATATTCAAAGTCATGGACCACATATAAATGCTGCGATTATTTGCAGAAGGTGAATTTAGCAAGGGGTAAATGGTAGAGCAAAACAGAAGATGTCTGTGGACCCAGTGCCACCTCATAGAAAGAATTAGTAGAGCTCATTTTAAAAGGATTAACACAGTTGAAGTGATAACATTATCAATTGTGTTAATGAAGAAAACAGCTTTCTGCCCTCTCATGATAAGCTAAAAACAATAAAACTGTGAATAATTTTATCAGACTCAGTAAAAAAATCTAAAAGGACATATTAGTGCCAGAGAGTATTGTTATCTTGCTGAGAGGAAAAAAGGGAATGATTTTTTTTCTTTAATTTGCCCAATGACATCTGTTTCTCAGAGTCTCCATACCAAGGTTAGTCAACTGTCAGTGTCTGCTGGGTCCCAGTTCATACTGTCAAGTGTCATTTTTATTCTAAACTTCCCCCGTGTATTCTGCAGAGCCCATCTTGAAGCATGGGCATAGGCAAAGGTCCCCCATGGGCATTGCCTCGTCCTCCTGCACCCATCCTGGCTGCTATGCGGGTAACGTAGACCATGAGTCCAACACACCCGGTGACAAGCACTGCTTCACCCTTTAAATACCTCCTTCTCAGGACTTGTTTTTCTTCCGTTTGATGATGACTGTCAAAACTCATTTCTGTGACACACATCCTCAGCCAAGTATTTCCCAACAGTCCAACTAGCTGCTGTATTTAGGAACGTAAATAACAGTGACCAGAAAACTTATCTCAAAACAACTACCGAGCACCATCCTTTTCTTTCTTTTTTTTTTTGACCTCCTAATGTAGTAGAGGAGATTTCCTTAAGAAAGAAGGTCTTGGTTTAATCTCAGTTTAAAGCTAAGGTCTGAAGACTCAAGCCATGGACTAGGAATCTGTCTTTTGTCCTTATTAGACTTGTTTAACCACCAGGCTGCCGGTTATTCTAGAGTAGATTCTCTCACACCTGTTGAAGAGGAATCATCACTTTGAATTCACTAAGTTAAAAGCTTAAACTAACATTTCCTACGTTTCAGGTGCGCACCATGCCTCATCACATCAGATTGCTGCTTTTGTGCTAATAACAAAATGTCTCGTGTTTCTCCTATACGACAGAATCAGGGAGCTTTTGGAACATCAAGTTCTTGGATGTTGGTGCTAAGAAAATACTTTATGCCTATCAGAGAAGATCTGCCCAACTAACCTCATGTGACATCACATAGAAACACTGGAAGGGCATGGGTAAGACAAAACCTACGCTCAGATGAATGGAGCTCCCACTTGCTGAGGGGTGAAACCTAAATTTTCAGTTAAAGCCCTGGTTAGGTGCTTCTATTTCCTTCCAGTCTTAAAAGTTTGCAGTAAGACTTATTAGTGAGTTTTGAAACAATACAAGAATTATAAACAATGGGACAATAACACAAGTGGTTATGTGAGTGTCTGCAGCTACTTATACATTAGTAAGAAGCAAGAAGTGCAGTAAGAAGTAATTAGTAAGAAGTGCAGACCTACAGCAGTGGATCTGTAGAGCAAAACAGTTGCTGTTGAGGACCTTCATTT